ACGGCATTTTCATAGTGATTCGAATGGAAATTTGGAAAATTAATTTTGGTAAATTTTGGACACAGTGGCGATTGAATCCACACCGATGCTTATTGGTGATATATTGTTCGACCATTCGACCAAAGACGTATATAGTATATACCTATGTATATAAATGTATTTTTCCTTTTGTTAGAAAACGTTGATGAAAAATATAGCAAAGCCAACAATTTACACGACCTATAAAATTGGATGCGGTTTGAGATTGGTTTTTTACTGAACACTGTGCACAGTATAAATAGTGACGTACGTAAAATCAATCAAGGCGCGTACATTGAAAATCTGAAAAACCTATCCATTATGTTCTCAGTTTAGCTTCTAGGCAAATATGACATGTTTAGTAATGAAGTAGTAAATTTCGTATGAAGTAGTAGATTCGGCAGGACTTGAACCGGTCCAGTCCCGTGTTGTTTGCTTTAACCAATTCAGCTAGCGTGTCCTATACGTCATAGTCGATTTTCAACCTATAGATATCGTCGTGGGTTCGACTACACCGTGTTTAGCATGTTACTAATCAATGCCTAATTTATCTCAAATAGGTTGGTTTCACATAAATGAGGAATTCATCAGGAAATCAGTAAATGTTACATGCGGGATATATTATCTTCCATCAATTGAAGCCTCGGCTTTCCAGTCTTTATAAAAAATATATAAAAAACGTTTATAACCATTGTGTCAAATAAACGCGTACGTCTTAAGTTTGTGTGAAAATAATTTAACGAAATATCCACCAACCGCAAAAATAAAATTAAGTTTACGTAGAAACCTTTCAGCCTAGATAACGCAGGCCTATTATTGAATGTTAAATAAAAATCTGCGGTGACCCGGTCCTAAATGAAACTCGCTAACCCTTGACCCTGTGCACGCTTCAGGAAATGAAAGTGATAGGCAATTTCGAACTCCCGACGTATTTTCAGAAGTGGGATCGTTCGACGTTCAAGAATCAGTTCGTTGCATAACGTTATCGCATAATTAATATCAGTAAGATGTGGGAAGATTGAAAAACTATTTATGTACTGTGAACTTTAATATTCCTCACAAATTATCAACGGTTTCAAAGGCGAAGTATATTAGTTAAACTTAATTCAATTGCCTGTGAGCACGACTACAAAGCACTTAAAACATCGGGCCGTAGTTAGGCTCATATAATTCGCGTTTGAAACCAGTAATGTGTTTTATTTAAATCTAAATTGAAATTTTAATATACTGTTGGTGAATGGTTGAAAATTAACATCCGCCTATTTCATTATTTTTTTAAACTAAAATAGAGAAGATAGCTATGACTAACTACGTAAAAAAGTAAAACATATAAGTAGCATAAGAAATTAAGAAAGTAAACCTAATTCATATATCTGTCTTTATTTCAGTTGCCTATAACTGTGATTAATATCACTTAAAAACCAATTTCATTAAAAAAATAGACACGGGCGGGACTTGAACCGGCATCAACAGCTTTCCGTGATGCCGACTTATCAATTGTGCTACTTCGCCCTTTTTTCAATCTAATTTTTTTTTATTTATTTACAATGCCATGTGAAATATATCACAATTTTTCAAATTGATTTCAAAAATATTTATTTATTACAGCTTTATTATTTATAATATATATCACATAAACTACAAAAGATAAATAAAATTTAGTTTAGTTCAATTTTATAAAGGTACTTTTTTCAATTGACAGCATCGATCCATCCGCTAATATTAAATCGTTTAACTGTAGATCAACACAAAAACATATTGGTCCTATAAGCCGGACGGAAAGCCAATCTAAGCATTTCCTTACAAACCTTCGGACGGTCGATGAATCGAATTTTTTATAGTAATTATACGTTTCAGAGGTAAGCCGGGGTTCGCTGTCGAGTGATGCATTAATAAATATCGACCCACTGACTAGGGTTGTCAACAATATATACTATCTAGTATTTGACTGTACACTGTCGAAATACGTGACATATCTATAATCTATAACAATATATAAATATATAAAGGTGTAGAGTTTGTTAGTTTGAACGCGCTAATCTAAGGAACTACTGTTTCAAATTGAAAAAAAAAATGTGTTGGTTAGAATATTTACCGAGGAAGGTTATAAAACATCGCGCTGTTACTACTAGGGGAGAAAAAATATAGTAGGACACATGAAAAAAAAACAAAAAACATTTTTTATTTTTTGTGGGTTTCCCTTTCGTACGCTGCAAAAACGGTGCAATATTCCCAAAAAACATATACGAAAGAATAATTTCTCTTTGAATGATGTAAAAAAATGTTCAAGACACGACATTTATCTATCTTTGAAGATTAATTTGCTAGAACGACGGGACGCGACGGACGTCGTGGGTAACAATTATAATAGAGTTTGGCAAAAACAAATTTTGTGCCCAAAATTATTCTACGCGGATGAAGTCACTGCACATACAGCTACGAGTGTAATAAAATTATACTTAATTCAATATAAAAATTTTAAGATGTCATATATTTTTTTAGATTTTTTTTTTCCGAATTCTGACAACCCTACCACTTGCCGCCTGGCTAACTATAGAATCGTCATTCACAACTGCCCTGTGGGGGCATTGACAATGCTTTGATCTAAGTATAGTGAAATCACGCCCCTATATGGGGACGGTCGCATTTCTGTGCCTTATCACTTACTTCATCAGTTGATCAGACTTCTGTGCCATCCCCGACCGAAAATATTATCGTTTTATTTATCCTTTTGTACTTGTGGACATAAAGTAGCAAAGTTTAAAACAAGATTATAAAGTTACAAGTTTTGATTGCCACTCGTATTTTCTTCAAGTTCACAGTTACGAGTAAAGATTCTCCCTTGAAGAGCAATCCTCAATAGATATATGGAGAAGAGGTACCTACGCCGATATGATTCACACAATATCTTTGTCAGATTTGTGTGGAAATTTTTACTTAAGACTATGTTAATATAAAACTACTTTAACAGTTTATAACGTGAAATATATTCGTTTCTAGTATTTTAAATGTCTCTTAATATATATCGCGTTTTAAACCGTTACCAGTGCGTAATTTAAATGTGTACTATTCGCGTCAACTATGGCTAACATTTAATTAATATACTTCGCGTTTTAAAGCGTTTAAAATGCGTAATTATCTGTAGAAGTTTTGTCTGGGAAGTTGTTGACGCGTGTAGTAAACGTTCGAATAACACTTTTAATAGTTTAAAACACGAAATGTATAAGTTAACTTATTCATAATTTATTTAAAATAATCCAGAGAATACTTAACTAACCGTCCTATTAAAATCACCCATTTTTTAATTAAGAACAGATATACGAAACGATTTGCTTCACTAAGAACCACAATTTTATATATACTGTTATATATACTGAATGTATAAATTTATAAGAAAAATTTGAAAATTTAACACAAAATTGTTACACACTTTAAATATATTTTATAGGCTCTAATAATATTAGATTACAGTTATTTTCCCTCGAGTGAAAGGTGGGTCGGAGTCTCTCATTTAAGTGTTATAAATTCATAGATATATTTTTTAGTTATGGCAATTTCAACATAAATTCAACGGAAATTATTATATACATCAAACCATAATTTCTACATATTTTAAAATTCTACGTATGTACATACGTGAAATATGACTAATATTAAGACACATTGTTGTAGTTCTTTTTAATAAACTCGAAAACAGGTTTCAACCAGTTAAAATTGTTATTTTAATGTGTGTAAACAAACTACCGAATCGACTTGAAAATAACTTTCGTAAAATTTAAGGTTTAAAAATGCCTTAAGTGTATATAGCACAATTAATTTTGAATACTTTTTCTTAAGATAAAAGAAGACAGACAACCATTAAGTTCACTCGATTGTAGGTGTAACATCTATGCCATATAACATCTCAACGATGCACTAGTTTTGGACATTCGGCAAGCCACAGACACAACTACATGGCTATATCATCTGTGGACATTCCTACCACCCATTCAATAGCCAGCTTTCTTATGTTTCAGAAAAATATAAATTAATTACATACATGTAAATTAATTACTACTATGGGACCAACGAGGCTGTCCAAAATTTTAACCTCGCGAGCGGCCCAATAAGCCATATGTTGAACAATTCACGTCGCGTTTCGAACCGTTACAATAGATTTTAAGTGTTTAATAATTAACATATCTCCCCAAAACTGCCAACAAACGTTTTCTAAGCTACCCTATTATTTTTTATTAGTATTATCAGCCCCTACCGGGTCTCACGTTCTTACGAATAAAACGACTATATAATTTGAATACGGCTCATTAAAGTTAGCCACAGTCGACTTGGGAGTATGCTACTGCTTTTAACCGATTCAAAGTTGCGTTCTAAACAATTAGCTCCTAATTCCAATTTGGCAACGTAGCGAGTTGTTAATTTAAACACTGGGCGTGTTGTTCACAGGTGCTAGGGAAGTTAATATTTAGTATTCTGTTGTTCACGGGTGTCGGGTCTTGTAACATTTAAACCGTATTTATATACTTGCATGTATGCATCCTGTGTGTGTGTGGTAGAATTTGGATATAAGTTTTAGTTTTTATTACCCAATTTTTTATATTGATCAAGATGTTTACGCATGAAAGAAAATAATTAGGATTTTAAAATCACGCTGTGAATTATATGACTAAGTGTTTGTTATGACATACGGTTGAATTGCTTAACCAAGTTTAATAAAACTTTGTACGAAACGTGCAGCTGCATAACGTTTAAATACGGCGATAAATTATTCATAATTCTTCAAATCAAAATTTAGATATTTATAAACATGTTAGACCCAGTGATAATCGAACCCAAGTCCCCGTCGATTGGCAGCCATACCTACCATTGAAACAGCGAGCCTGTCAAAGGAAAGATAGGATAATACGTAAAATAAATTTACTTACCGGTAAATTAATTTTATGCATCGCACAACAGAGCCCGGCTAGTCGTTATTAATTGACAAAATGGCCGATACATCACAAGTCATCAGCGTTACGTGTCACGAATTTACGAGTACCCATGCATCACGACCCGATCTCCATTACACTTTTGTCGTTAAATTTCAACTTGGTATATCAAAGTATTCTAATATTGGAAGGCTGTCCTTAGACAAACTTGGCTCCGAGCCAAGCTTTCGAGGGCCGACGAGATATGTATCCAGCGAAAAGAAAATGTACCGCCTTGTACTTCCTTTGGTGAGCGAGTTCATTGCAATTTGGCATTTGGACACTATTGATTGTGAATTTTAAGTGTATATTTCAACTTTTGAAGAGCTCCTTCTAAACATTTCATTTGTAAAACATTATTATCTCTCCGACACATGTTGGGTGGTAGGAATATCGAGATTGCGTCTCGGCGACAAACTACTCCACAGAGCGTCCGAAAAGCCAAGTTTCGGTTCGGCGAATTGTGTTTAGATGTTATGTGGCATTTTTTCATCTTCCTTTTTGCATTCCTTTTCAAGATGAGGTGAAAAAATGTTATTTTAAAAGATTTTTCATTTGTATCGGTATAAAGGCTAACAGGTCAGCGTAGTCGAAAATATTACAATTACATTAAGAGCCCTTTTGTCGCAAGAAATTTAGCTAAAGAGTTTGTCTGTTTGTTTGTTTCAACGCACTTATCTCAGCTGCTGGATTGAATTGAAAAAATATTTTCGTGTCCGTTACAGCATTTATTGAGGGAGGCTAACATAGGCTATAAAACATTAGACTATAGGCTATAAACATTAGACTATAGGCTATAAACATTAGACTATAGGCTAAAAACATTAGAGGTGCGACGTATAGGAACAAAGAAACCGAGAAACGTGCAGGAAACGGGGAAAAGTATCCATCTCTCTGTAGTCTGTAGACTACTTGTAAGTAGGTAATGTAGCTAGACTCTGTGATAGATTTCTTCCGTTTCCTTTGTGTTTGACATGAAGCTGACATGTATGTCTTTGTCTTTTGACAAAGCACATTTATTTACAAACAAATATTTAACCAAACGTGTGCATCACACACGTGTGCACAGTTAATTTTACTTAACATTTTTCTTATTTAATAATTACCCAAAGTTGTACGAATAACATAACATTATTATGAATAGAATTTATTTTTTAAAATATAATAAATAGAGCTTTTATTGATAAATGATTTGCAGTTATATATAAGTCTAAAATTTCCATAAATATTTGTATGATGGCGGGATAGATAGACTTTTAAAAATTAGCAGAAATTTGTTGTTCTAGATTCAAATATGACAGCTGAAAATCATTGGTAGGGACAAGCATTTCTTTCTTACGACACAGGTAAGCAAGAATCAATATGTAGTATATACACGAAATAAAGTATTTTGTTTAATTATGGTTAAAAAATTTAATTCCAATGTTCAATAAAAGATGAACTGCGGATGTATAAAGGAAATCTAACGGCTATCGAACGATAGAGGCTTTCAAGGGGATCGTAGTGCGCGGTACAAAGGAGCGTGATCGGCTTCTAATCGAATTTTTAGCTCGGATTGAAGATACACGAAGTGTCAGTTAAGTCAATTCTGTTGAAAAGACTTAACTCTTTGACAATAATTATAGACTTATTTCGTTACAAGATGACCCGCCTCTGTAGCCAAATGGCTAAACGTACTGCCTAACATTGCGTTAAGCGCGAGTGCTCCTGAATTCGAAACCCAGGGGAACAAACAATTGTTTCGATCGGGCAGGGCACAGAAGTCTGATCAAGTACTCAAAGAACAGATCACGGAACGGACATAGAAATGTGTTCGCCCCACGCCCTACGAGGGCAGAAGAAAGGAAACGAGATGTCACACTAGGTGACCCAGCAAACGTTGCTTTTTTAATTTCGAGTGTGTAAAGATCTGGTAAGACCGCTTCGGTGCTGTTTACTAGATGAGAAGAGACACCAGTAGACGTCTTAGGGGGACGATAACTTATCAAGTGAGGATTGATCAGTCATCGGGCGGTATAAAAATGATCACTTAAAATAGGGCTTAGGGATAGACCTCTTCTAGTGGCGTGGGGAGTATTTAATCAATAAAGTAAAAAAAAAATAACACTTAGGCGTATAAATAATAGATAGTAATCTCAGACAAACTGAATAAGCTACTAAACTTTTAAAGAATTTCATAAAAAGCTAACTAACACTGTGATACGAGAGTTTTATATATTAGATCACCTGTATGTATCAAAGAGTCTGGTCATGGAGATGTGAAACTATTAATTATATTAGAAGACTTAACACTTTTTCGAGGCTAAACTGATCTCTATTATTATTGCTTCCAAGTAAACTTAAAAGGTATTTAGGCTTTCAAGAAATAATTAAAATCGTTCGACAAAGCTTAACGATAAAAATACTGTCTATAGTTTACACGAGTAGTACACATTCAAATAAAACACTTTATCGGCTAAAAACGCGATAAATTAGTTGAACTTATTTGAAAATGATTTTTAACTTTGTGACCACGGCTGCTGCAAAGCATCCGAAACGTCGGGCCGGAGTTAAAAATCATTTTCAAATAAGTTTAACTAATATATCGCGTTTTAAACCGTTAAAGTGTTTTATTTAAAAGCATAACGATTTACCTGAATAGCCAAATGTAATAAGTCATGCTACGTTGTAAGACAGAAAAATGGAGCCAACAGGTAACGGTCTGGTATCAAGGAGATGACGGAGAACGAGGTCCAACAATAATATGGAAAGATGACTTTTCCTTGGGTCTGGGCTTCTTTGGTTGGCCTAAAGAGGTGAGCAATAGACGGGGTGTAATGGAAGGCTTTGTCAAACATCCGGAATAATTAATTTGGCCTATTATTATAATTTTTTATATATGTTACTACTTTTCCTATATAGGAGTAAAATGTTGCGAGCTTTAGGCTAAACATTGGGCTTAATTTTGTTTCGCCCACCTTGAACATCTCGTTTTCGCGTAAACTTTTTCCTCTTTTCTCTTGGGTTGCCTGGAAGAGATCGCTAGTTAGCGATAAGGCCGCCCATTGCACTCCATATGTTTAGTATATAAGTTAATGTTTTTATTCATTCATTCAAATTTTATGTATCCCTTAAAGATCGCGTAAAAATCTCTCCTCAATTTCAGAGTTGCAAGCTATTATTATCGTGCCTACGGAGTGAAACGTGTAATATTTTTGACAGCAACATCGCACGCAAATGCATTTAAATAAGGCGTGATCAATATTCGGCGCGCATTCAGCAATTTATCTTGCGACTTTAATAAAATATAATAATTTACAACGCGAGTGGCGAATGATTGAACGCACAGATATGGTACGTTTGATTAAAAACAAACGTCACGTGTTTGAGCGTCAAATAATTAACAATGAAATAACAGAGATGATTTTAATTGATACACAATATGTACATAGTCGTTTCCTCTCACATACATTTTAAATAAGTAAACTATATTTAAATTAAACATTTTAACGGTCTAAATCGCGATGTATAGTAGTTAAGCTTATTAAAAAAATATTTTAAATACGGCCTGGCGTTTCGGATACTTTGCAGCAGCCCTCACGGGGAGAGGTTGCTGTGTTTTATTTAAATGTTTACTACTCGCGTAAACTACATAAAATAATATAATAACTAAATAACAATAATTAATTTTTAGTAAAAAAATAATATTTAAAACGAAACTAATGACTAAGGAGGACAGACAACCATAGAGTTCACTTCATAGAAGGTGAAGAACTCTAGCTATATATGTATCTACAAGATCGCTGTCGACCTGTATTTTAGGTTGGGCCATTTTGATATCCAGTTTTCTTGACGTCACAAAGGTTTCCGAAAAAAAGATAAACTCATAAGAAACTTATTTGACCTGGTGAGAATCGAAGACCCTTGATGATGAGCCATACATTGATACCATTAGACGAGCCAACTTGTTTGAACAACATAGACGTGTGTTACTTGTGTAATTATATATTTTTTAGACAATTGTAAATATCAATTTAGACGAGCCAAAAGTTCTCTGTTACTCAGACAGCAAGCCTTTCATATATCCAGGCTTCCACTTACTAAAGCTATCCTTTAATGTAAACTTGTATCGTTTTCACTAAGGTTTGAATAGAACCCACGCTTGAAGCTTTCAAGAGTTCCTAGCAGCGAAACAGTTCAAATATTAAGTTCTTCAAGTTAAATACGATATTGCTACGAATTGTAAATCGTTAAATAATATTAAATATTAAAATAGGGCGGTGCGTTTATCTCTGGTTATAAGTTAACCAGTTTTGTTTTAATTTATAAAGCTGAAGAGTTTGTATCTTCGAACGTTTCGTTAGTTAGAACATTTTTCGAGGAAATTTAGAGGCAAGAAAACATCACGCTTTGTCTAATATGAGCGAAGCAACAGCGGGAAATGTGCAAAAAACGATTAAAATTATTCATCGTTGTGGGATTGCGTTGTACACGCTGCGAAAGTAGTTCTATATATTCAAAAATTTGTATGAATGATTGATTCTTCTTTAAACGATCTAAAAAAATGTGCACGAAAGTATATTTCTATCTTTTAAGATTAAAATGCAAAAACGACGGGACGCGACCGACGTCGTGGGCAGAGGGAGGAGGTTTGCAAAAAATGTCTATACTACGCGGACGAAGTCACTGACATAGCTAGTATTACATATATAAACATATCTAATATTAAGCTACTTCTAATTTAGAATCAATGCATTGGTAATAGAATATTAATAACAATAATTACAAAAATGTTCAACAGGATAAATAGTAACTAATTATATAGAACAATTTTAACAGTATAAAACGCTCTATATATAATTATTTTATTTACTATTTACTTATTGTTTTAATTACATATTCCCTTGCACCATCTGTTGTGCTATTGGGTAGTATTTGACTATGAAACACCCACCATGCACGAAGCTGCAGGGTGGGTGCAAAGCATCCGAAACGTCAGGTTTTCCCTATTTGGGTTTGTAAACTTGAGACATGCACAATATATGAAACGCGAACTAACACGGATTTTTACGAACTTCAAAGTATAGTTCTTATTTTTCAATGTATAATTTTTCCGAAACATGAATGCTGAACTTCATCCGGAAACCTGGATTTTAAGTCGTGAAGTTTAAACACCTTTCAGTTTCAGTATGTGGATTTCCGAATATCCAAAGCGAAAATAAGCCGACAGCACATCTTATGTAAATGTTACATGGCTGGGGTATTTCAACTCCCATCAAGTAAACCCCGTCTTTGCCTGTCCTTCTTTATAATTGAAAAAAAAG